ACTGCCGCAACCGCCGCCGCCGTCCGGGGATTCTCCATCGACCTCAATCACCCAATAACCAGATTCCGACCTCTGTTTTTCCTGTCTCTGTTTCTTTCTTCCGCCGCCGTACAGGACTTTCAATTCTACTCTGTTTATTTTAAAGGGGTTTTTCGTATGCTGCCCGGCGATGCCGACGCCGGTGAGCGCTGCAAGGCAATGCTTGACGGAGGAGGCGGCTAGGGCTTTAGACGATGCTGTTTCCGTTGCTCGCCGCCGCTGCCACGCTCAAACTACCTCTCTTCATGCTGTCTCCGCTTTGTTATCTTTACCTTCCTCTGCTCTTCGCGATGCTTGCTCCCGCTCCCACAGCTGCGCGTACCCTCCACGCCTCCAGTTCCGAGCACTCGATTTGTCCGTCGGCGTATCTCTCGATCGGCTTCCTTCCTCCAAACCCTCCGATGAGCCACCGATTTCGAATTCCCTTATGGCCGCCATCAAACGATCCCAAGCCAATCAACGGCGACACCCAGATAGCTTCCATCTCTATCAGATTCATAATCAGCAACAAACCCCTTCGCTTTTAAAGGTAGAACTTAAGTATTTTATTTTGTCGATTCTTGATGATCCGATTGTGAGTAGGGTTTTTGGTGAAGCTGGGTTTCGAAGCTGCGACATTAAATTAGCGATAATGCATCCACCTCTGTCTCACCATCCTTCCCGATTCTCCCGTTCCGGTCGTTTCCCTCCGATTTTCCTCTGTAATCTCCCGGATTCCGATGTGGGTAACCGGAATTTCCCCTTCCCTTTCACTAGCAGCCATGGAAATAGCGATAACGATGCCAATTCCAGAAGAATCGGTGAGGTTTTAGTGAGGAAAAAACAGAGGAATCCATTATTGATTGGTGTCTACGCCGTTGAAGCTCTCCGGTGCTTCACTGATTGTGTTCATAGCTGTAAATCTGATGTTCTTCCAGGGGAACTTTCTGGATTAAGGGTAGTTTGCATTGAGAAGGAGATTTCTGAATTTGTGAGTGGAAATGTTAGCAAAGAGAGTGTAAAATTGAAATTTGAGGAGGTTTCTGGGATGGTTCAGCAATGTTCAGGGCCTGGTTTGGTAGTGAATTATGGGGAATTGAGTAACTTAGAAGAAGAAGATGATGATAGCAATGGCATGAGTTTTGTGGTATCACAACTTACAGCTTTGTTGAAACTTCACAATGGGAGAGTTTGGTTGATTGGAGCTGTTGGAACTTACGAGCTGCACGAGAAGTTTCGGGTTCGGTTTCCAGCCATTGAAAAGGATTGGGATGTTCATGTTCTTCCCATAACTTCTAAGTCCATGGTGGATGTGTTTGGAGGTAAATCCAGGTGAGTTTCTTGAGCTTTTTATAGCTGCTACTCTTAGCTCAAATGGGTTGTTTTTTAATATTACTTTCGCTGCTTGGATATCATTGAAATCTGAGCTTTTTATAATCTGCTATCAATGAAGAAGATGATGATAGCGATGAAGGGCCATTTTGTGTTTTGATTGTTTGTTCATCTTTTGGTCTGAAACATTCTTAGCTGAAAATAAGGTTTTTGTGCTGATTGCTGCAATGATTAAGAACATGTTTTGACTTAGAAGGGGTTATTATAATGTTGTTAGATCTGGTTTCTTCATGTTTTGTTTTTTGTTTCTTGTTCTTTTGAAGAACATGCCGGCATTATTTTATTGAAGAAGGGATGTTTTAAAGTTTATAAAATAAAGTTGTACTTTATATTAGGTGTAGTTTTCTATTGGGTTCCTCAACTTTTTCTCCCTTTTCTTCTATTGTGCTCCCTAACCTTTCATAATATCCGTTTAGTCCTTGAACTTTTAGATATAGTCATCAAGCCTGCCGCTATCAAATATTGTTTGCTGTCAATTTCACGGTTTTAAAACGTGTCTACTAGGGAGGGGTTTCCACACCCTTATAAGGAATGTTTCGTTCCCTGCCGTCAACCTCACGGTTTTAAAATGTGTCTACTAGTGAGAGGTTTCCACACCCTTTTGAGGAATGTTTCGTTCCCCGCCGTCAGCCTCACAGTTTTATAATGTGTCTACTAGGAAGAAGTTTCCACACCCTTGTAAGGAATTTAAAATGTGTCTACTAGTGAGAGGTTTCCACACCCTTTTAAGGAATGTTTCGTTCCCCGCCAAGAGGTTTCCACACCCTTATAAGGAGAGGTTTCCACACCCTTATAAGGAATGTTACAGTTTTAAAATGTGTCTACTGGGAAGAAGTTTCCACACCCTTGTAAGGAATGTTTAATTCCCCGCCGTCGACCTCACGATTTTAAAATGTGTCTACTAGAGAGAGGTTTCCACACACCCTTATAAGGAATGTTTCGTTCCCCTCTCGAACCGATGTGGGATCTCACAGTCCACTCCCCTTGAAGTCCCAACGTCCCCACTGATACACCGTTCGGAACCTGGCTCTGATACCATTTGTGACAGCCCAAACCTACTGCTGGTAGATATTGTGTCCCATTTAGCCTGTTACATATCGCCGTCATCCTCATGATTTTAAAACATGTCTATTAGGGAGAGGTTTTCATACCCTTATAAAGAATGTTTCGTTCTCCTCTCTAACCAATGTGGGATCTCACACAACATTTTAGTCTTTAAACTTTTAAAAGGTTCATTTTAGTTCTTGAAGTTTTGAAAAACAATAAGTTTAGTCATTAATAACAACTTCGAGTATGTGTACTAAGTTATATGTAAGTTAGGGACAAACATTTGACAAGTTGATATTTGAGTCGAATCATGTATATGATAGATCTCATAGTTCATGCTTGTAATTTGCAGTTTAATGGGATCGTTCGTTCCATTCGGTGGATTTTTTCCTTCGCAATCGAGTTTCCCAAGTCGGTCAAGCAGTTTGAATCAGTTCACTCGCTGTCATCAATGCACCGAAAAATACGAGCAGGAAGTTGCTGCTATATGGAAGCCAGGATCGACTACTCTCCCCGGTCGACACACTGAAAGTTCCTTACATATACCAACGACTGAACCAGATGCAAAAACCAAGGAATTTGATGTGTGTAAGGTGTGTTACTCTTTCATAGTAAATTTCTTCAACTTTTCGTGTCGTTGATTCACTCCCGAGTAATTACGTTCTTATGAACTTGATCCAGCGCAGACCAGTGACGACACAAGTACATTGAGTGATAAGCTAATTGGACTGCAAAAGAAGTGGAACGATATCTGCCGTCTTCATCAAACGCAACGGTTCCCGAAACTCGACATTTCACATACTAGGCATGGGATGGTTCTTGAGTCGACTCGAGTTGCTTTAGATCACGATAGAAGTGGTGAAGAACCGTCATCTGTAACTGGAGAAAGATCTGTAAGTACAAATCCGAGGTTATCTAGAGACTTGCATAACAAGCAAGGCAGGCAGATATCGGAGATTTCCGACACTCACACCAATAGTTTCCAACCGAGAACTGTTGTTCCAGAACGGTGTCTTAACTCTGATAAACTATTACCCGCACCCGTCTTCTCGGTTACCACTGATTTGGGTCTCGGGTCGTTATATGCATCAGCTGGTGAGAACAAGAGAAAAGTTTCAGAATTAGAGAGTCGGACAGAGTGTAGGCCAAGCAACGATAACCCGGGCCAATCGCTCGGTTGCTCTGATCCGAATGCTGGACGACGACAACTTGACATGAGAGAGTTCAAGCCACTCTGGAATGCGCTGATTGAAAAAGTTAGCTGGCAAGGAAAGGCCATAAGTTCTATTATCGAAACCATTCTTCGTTGTCGGAGTGGTAGCGGAAGGCGGCGTTGCTCGAGTTCAAGGCAAGATATTTGGCTAACATTCCTTGGTCCCGACATGATAGGAAAGCGTAAAATTTCGTTAGCTCTTGCTGAGTTGATGTTCGGAAGCAGAGAAAACCTTATCACAGTCGATTTCGGTTCACAGGACCGTGATCGCCGACCGAACTCACTCTTTGACTGTGAAGGATTAGATGGTTACGACGAGCGGTTTCGTGGACAAACCGTTATTGATTATGTTGCTGGGGAGTTGAGGAAGAAACCCTCTTCGGTTGTCCTCCTTGAGAATGTCGACAAGGCCGACGTTCGGGCCAAGAGTTGCTTGTCCCAGGCAATCACGACCGGTAAGTTTCCAGATTCACACGGGAGACAAATTACCATAAATAACACAATTTTCGTGACAACGTTGAGGAACAAAAACGTCGACAAAACGTTCGATGTACAGACTGAATTTTCCGAGGAGAGAATACTTACAGCCAAGAACTGTCAAATGCAATTACTAGTAGGAGGATTTTCAAGTGATGTCAATGAACACGACACGAACGTTAGAATTGCATCTGCCCGTGGAGGCTTGAACCTCTCGAAAAAGAGAAAATTACACGAATCCACAAATCGGGAAACGAACTCAGAGACGCAGGAGAAGGCATCCTCATCGAAGTCGTTCCTAGACTTGAATCTCCCAGTGGAAGAGGTCGAAGAAGAAGAAGAAGAACCGAACTACAGTGATTGCGATAGCGACTCGATATCAGAAGGCTCGGAAACATGGCTAGACAAATTCCTTGAACAAGCAGACGAGAAGGTCGTGTTCAAACCATATGATTTCGACGAAGCAGCGGAGAGGCTAGTGAAGGAAATACGCTTGCAGCTCGAAAGGGTGTTCGGAAGCAAGGTCGTATTGGAGATCGAGTACGAAATAGTCATCCAAATCCTTGCAGCGAAGTGGCTATCAGAGAAGAAAGGAGCCATGGAAGAATGGGCGGAGCTTGTTCTTCATAGAAGCTTTGTGGAAGCAGAACAGAAGTACCAAATGGGGTCTGGTTCTGTAATCAAACTTGTTTGTAAACAAGATGGTGTAGTTGAAGAACAAGCAGCTGGTGTTTTTCTACCTGCTACGATCAATTTGAATTGAACTACATTTTTTTTTTGTAATGTAAATTATTATATTTGTATAATCCGAGTTTTAGTATTTAATCTTTCAGAAATTTGTGTACTTTTGAACTAAAAATTCAAAGGAAAGATTCTTTGTTCGTACGCGAATTCAAATTCAAATTGTAAATACAATTTGAAATCAGAATCTAGAACAGGATTTTGTTTTTCCGGTTCAATTTTTGGTGAGCTTAGTAAACTATAATTCGAAAATTTACATGTTAGTCGTTGATTTTCAGATGAAGATCGAATCATACATTTGTTCTGCAAATTCCTCTATCAATCCTTCAAGAATGAACGAATCAAAACCTTCAATTATACTCTCAACTCCAAGTTCTTCATGTTCTTCACAAAATTTCCTGTAATTCCAAATCGATTTCACCAATTCCATCTCTGTTATTTTACAAATCTCTTCTTCAATCGCTCTCGTCTTCGCGGGGTTTCCTTCTTTGATTATCAAATCATCGTCGTCCAGAGATCGGCGCTGAGAGATTTCGAGCTCCGGTGATAATTTCCTTCGACTATTTACGGGGGATTTCGAAGCGGCGTCTCCTGAAAGAGTGCGATTTAAGGAATTTTGGACACAAATTGAAGAATCCGAATTAGAGTTTGTTGAAGAAAGCGAAATAAAACCTGATAATGGGGCTGCTTCTTCAGAATCTCGGAGGAATTCACTGCTATCAAGAACTGATACTGGGCTTAATTCGTCGGAGCTCTGCTCTGATTCTACCTTCCTTGTTGATCTTCTGCCATGGCGATCCTTGGTTGAAATTCTGGAGGTTGGTTTATTTCTTGAGACTCTTTTTCTTGATTTCTTCTTTTGTTTCAAATCGATTAGGACGAACTCTTTGGCTTCTTCTGGATTGAATATCTTCTTCTTCGTCTTTCTCACGTAAGAATGCTCTGTTTTGTTGCTTCCCCTGTTTTGACATTTTTCTTCTCCATGCCTTCTTGCTTTCGCTTTGAATTCTTCATTTTTGCTGTCTCCTTCGAAGCTTAGGATGAAGTAATCTTCATTTTCAAGCTCGAGGAAGGTGGGTATCTCTCGAAACGACTGTGTTGATCTAACCCCTTTATGTTTGCCTTCAAGGTGTTTGTAAAAATGCTCCACAGAGTTCATGGATTGAGTTCTTGCTATTGAATTACAATTCTGCTTCATATCTGGCATGGTATCCAAACCCATCAGCCTGGCCACAATTCCAGCGGTGGGCTTGGCCTCATTTGTGTCTTTCATGACACCCACGTTCTTAACATTGTCCTCAGACTTTAATGAGTTGGTTTCTTCAGTGATCTGATCGGACGGGTGCGTCGGGAGGCTACCGGAGCAGAGAATTCGGCGGAGAATTCCCGAAAGGCAGCTGGGGGTAGCTGCAGCTCTGGGGTTGCAGACATGAGCATCAAAGTTGGAAGCGGAGAAGGAAGAAGTGGAAGAGCAAGAAGGAGAAGGCAACAACAACTTCATGCTGAGTTTTGAGGTCAGTAAGATATGAAATTGAGTTAAAAAAACACACAAAAGTAAGAAGGGTTATGTGTATGTGCTGTTTTCTTTTTTGGTGGTAAAGCAAGCAATCACAGAAAACAAAGCAAAGAAGAAAATTTGAATGCATATGATGGAAAGTGAGAAAGAGAATGATAAAGTGGCGGGGTTTGTGTTTGAATAACTTGGCTGTTCTAGTTTATTTATGGTGGCTGGGCCAGGATTATGTCTGCTACCACTTTTGAGGGGTCAATTCCTTCAGTTTTGTTGCTTCCCCACTTGACTTCAAAGCCTTTGAACAACCATTGCTCTTTGCATTTAGCCTTAGAACTCTTGATTTTGAATATACTCACTACTAGTAGATATTGCTTTTCTTTTCGGACTTTTCCATAAGGTTTTTAAAACGCGTATATTAGGAAGAGGTTTCCACACCCTTATAAATAATGTTTCGTTCTCCTCCTCAATTGATGTAAGATCTTATAATCCACCTCCCTTTGGGTCTAGCGTCCTCATTGGTACCTGTTCCTCTCTCGAATCCATGTGGGATCTCATAATCCACCCCCTTCGGGACCCAGCGTCCTCCTTGGCACACCGCTTGGTGTCTGATTTTGATACCATTTGTAACAGTCCAAACCCACCGCTAACAGATATTGTTCTCTTTAAGCTTCTCCTCAAGGTTTTAAAAAGCATATGTTGGGGAGAAGTTTCCACACCCTTATAAAGAATGCTGCGTTCTCCTCCTCAACCAATGTGGGATCTCACAATCCACCCCTTTTCGAACTCCAGCGTTCTTGCTGGCACTCGTTCCTCTCTCCAACCGATGTGGGATCTCACAATCCACCTCCCTTTGGGACCCAGTGTCCTCCCTAGTACACACTGCTCGATGTCTGACTCTGATATCATTTCTAACAGCCCAAGCATACCACTAGCAGATATTATCTTCTTTGGGTTTTCACTTTCGGGCTTCCTCTCAAGGTTTTCAAAACATGTTTGCTAGAGATAGGTTTCCACACAAGGATGTTTCGTTATCCTCCTCCTCAACCGATCTAGGATCTTACAGTCCACTCCTCTTCGGGCTTCAGCATCTTCACTGTGACACTCGTTCCTCTCTCCAATTAATGTGGGATCTCACAAGAGTCCAAACATGTCGAAGAATTCAACTACCATAAGCTTGTAAAAGGGATTAAGAGGACCCATTAGAGTAAGAAGAGCATCAAACTCTGTGTAATCAATGATAGCTAGCTTTTCCTAAACAGATAGGACCCATTTAAGTTTGTAGGCTTCCATGGAAGTGAAGAAGAATATAGACATCTCGAAGAGCTCAACAACGTCTATATTCTTTACTCTCCTTCCATCTCGAAGAGCTCAAAAGAGCCTCCAACTCAGTTTGTAATCATTCATCCATAAGAGCCTAAAGTAAACAAAGGGTTCGCATCAACACACATCATCATTCTATATTGCTGAAATCTGAGTTCTTTTTTTGGGGATTGGGAATGGAGTAATGAATATGAACAGGCAATGCTTGACTTGTTATGTGGCTGTGTGTGTTCTGACTCAAAATTCTCTCTCTCTCTTCGTTCTCTCTCCTGTTTCTCTTGGTCTGGCAGCTGAAAATGGTGACAAACAAACAGCGACCACTCCACAGGCAATGTTGGACCAGAAGATTATACAGTTAATCCAAACCGACCAGTTCTGGTAAGAACAAGATTTTTGTTCTGTTCAGCTCTGCTCTGTTCTGCTCTCTCCATGTTTGTATGTTCTGTTTAGAAATTTGAATTTTAGGGTAAAGGGTATGGACTTTGATGTATATAAAGGACTGTTTGTACGTAAAATTTTACCTTACGACGAGTTCAATAAGTCTTTAATTCGACAATTTTTTAAATTTACGAATTTATTAGATATAAAATTGAAAGTTTAATGTCTAGTTGTGTTGTCTTTGTGATAGGTGGGCTAGACTCGAGGTGTTTTGGGCTTTTTTTTTTTTTTTTTTTTTTTTTTTTTTTTTTTTTTTTTTTTTTTTTTTTTTTTTTTTTTTTTTTTTTTTTTTTTTTTTTTTTTTTTTTTTTTTTTTTTTTTTTTTGTATAGAAATATTTATTACCATTTATTAGTTACTATGATATTTAATTTTACCATTTATCTTCTTTGGAAAAAGGAAAATTGGATTGGCAAACGAAAGACAAAGGAAAAGGGTTGATGGCTCTCATTTGGCATTGAAGATAAAGAAATAAAGAGGAAAGAAGATTACGTACTTTTGTTAGATTCGATCAAACGTTGTTTTTTTCGAAAATTAAGTTTATAAATTCAATTCGAGTTATGTATAATGATTGTACGGTATGCAATGTGTCGTACACATTGATGACTTCATAGCATGTTCTTGAAATCGACATTTTCATTTTGTCGATAGACTAAGCTACTTACATATTTAGGTTATACTAAAAATGTAAACTTTTAGTCTGACTACGATATGCGGATTCATTGTAATAAAAATCGCACAAATAAAATGTATCGGTACAATGGTTGTACCGTCTGGGAGATAAAATCTTCGAACTTTAAATAAATAAAAAAAAATACGTTTTAATTTGAGATCTAGATTTCAAATCTGTAGTTTATTTGAAAGTACGAGGAAGAAAGTGAAGGATATAATCGTCACAAATTGAAAATATTCCATGAAACCCACTTATATTCTTCGAGCACTGTGCTCTCCAAAGAGCAACTCTTCTCAAAATCTCAAAAGGCATTGAGTTGGAATCCCATTCTAACTAAGGATTCTTGTGGTTCTGGAGAATCTAGCTATAGGAGAATTCGGAACGGAGAACTTAAAGAGAATGCTGGTTTTAAGAATGAGTGCTGCCCTTCTCCAACCCTTATTGCACAATTGGATAGCGGACAACTAATGCGTTCCACTTATTGAACATGGTTCTATGGTCGGTCCGAAACCCTCATAATCATTAGCCAATATGCTTTTCTCTCATGCCTTTCTTCGTTCATGGTTCGATATTCTAGTGTCATAGGCGTAGAGGAACCACACCAATCCATCCCGAACTTGGGGTGTTCTAGAAATGTCGGATTGGGTAAACAACCCGACAAACGAATGGATCAGATCGGTTGGAAAATGAAAAGATTTTTACAACTTAAACCAATCATTATGTTACTTACCTATGACTCATCAATAAAAATATATCAAAAGAGTTTTTTATTTTTATGTTTTACAAATAAAATAAAAAAAGAAAAGGAAAAAAGCAACAACTTTAAATTTGAAAGTGAAAGGACTAGTGAGTAGTGGACCCCACAATGTTTCCCCATCTTCACTAATCAACCACTCATTTTGTTCTCCATCCATCTTGACCATCCATTCCTTTATTGATTATTTTTAAATATTTATTCTATATTTTAAATTTAAAATTGTATAATTTAACCCTTTTGTCGGATGCTACTTTCCAACTACTCTCTCAGCTGCCTTCCTTTAATAAAATGAACTCTTTTAAGTACACTATGTGGTACTATTTTTTTATTATTGCTATTTAATTTAATTATATAAATATCACATTATTTTTAAATATTAATGAATAAAGTCAATTATTTTCTAAAAAAATTCCATTTTCTCCCAAAAATCTCTCAACTCACTGACTCGAGATGTAACGACCCAGATCCACCGCTAGCAGATATTGTTCTCTTTGGACTTTCCCTTTCACGCTTTCCCTCAAAGCTTTCTGCTAGGAGAAGGTTTCCACACCCTTAAAAATAGTGATTTGTTCTTCTCTCCAACCAATGTGGGACATCACATGAGACCCGACCTAGAATGTGACCCACGTGCATCTCTCCAACATTGAATCTGCTCGGCTCGACAGCTCGTCCATAGCTTGAACGGCTCATTCGGTTCAGTTTGAAATTTTGATACTTCTGGAGCCATTTTGATGTAATTTGGGACATTTAAGGTCAGTATAGCTAATGTTTGGTCAATGTAAAATATTTTTTTGGCCAAACATAGATTAGGTGAATTAACTTTTATAATGATGTTTTGGATATGATGTTATGGGACTCGGCTTAGACCAACAAACTAATTGGACTTACCATTGGTATACCTTCGAACGCAATTCATCCATCTACATGTGATTTTCTGATGTTATATATTATGTTATGTTTATGTGATGCATATATGTTATGATACCATGTTTATGTTACGTCTATGAGACATTGATGAGTCATTATGATAATAATGAAAGATTTGTCATGTGGACAATATGCATGTTCGGTAAGAACTTTATGTCATGAAAAGAATGAAAATATGATGTGTATCATAACCATGTACCATGATTTGAAATTACGGGTTCTCATGCATGTTGAATATCACGCATATGATACTTTACCAATATGTGTTTGTATGGACGCGTACACCATGATATGATACGTGCTCCTTTCATTTTTCTGGTTTTTCAGCAGTAGTGTGAGCGTGTGCTGGACCATCGTTGGGAACCGAACCATCATCCGATCTGCAACCTCATAGACGTAGCCACCACCACAAATTAAAACATTTAAAAGATAGCAAATAATAAGGTCGAGATTCTCTTCCCCGATCTTTGTGGGACACATGACCTACAAAAGAAGAGATTGATTAAAGAGCTTTTCTCCAATGGAAGTATGGTCCCCTCCCAACCACATCAAAATCAGACCATTTCATTATATTACATTACAAAATCCCAAAAAACATTTGAAATCCACCAAATCTCTCCTACTTCTTTGGAATCAACCTCATAAATATATTTACTTTGTTTTCTTACTATAATTATTCAACCCAATCCAAATACTTCTATTTCTCACATCTACAAGCCAATAAATGGTTCAAAGGGAAGAACATACTTAGGGCTAACTAGGTGACTTACACGGACTTTAGGCTTTAGGGTACTTTAATCTGACTCCTTGAATTTTTCTTAGTCTGGAAGTACTAAGATCTAGACCCTTTAATTGCTGTACATGATCTTAATATGCTCAGTCTACTGGAACATGTTC